TGTGTGTATGTGTGTGTGTGTGTGTGTGTGTGTGTGTGTATGTGTGTGTATGTTTAACAATGATGATGTGTGTGTGTGTGTGCGTGTGTGTATGTGTGTGTGTGTGTGTGTGTGTGTGTGTGTGTATGTGTGTGTATGTTTAACAATGATGATGTGTGTGTGTGTGTGTGTGTGTGTATATGTGTGTGTGTGTGGGGGTGTGTGTGTATGTCCTCAGAGCAAGAAGTCGTGAGTTTGGGAGAACTGAGAGACCTATGGCGTGGGTGTTGTCCATAGCCACCTGCTGATAAGGCCGACAAGATAGAAGTCTTTGTGCATTGTATTAAATACAAAGGCCCAACACAAGATGGGTCATGCACAAGATTTTAGTCAGACCAAGCTATAACATTATATATTTACTACGACAAATCCCTCTCTTCACGTCTCCCCAGAGACGTGACCAAGTAACAGTAAAGAAGGAAAACTTAAGACGTGACACAAGCTAACAGTGTAATTGGCAAAATAGGGAAAACTTTATCAGAAGATAAAGTTTTGATTCCCCCTCTTCACGTCTCACAAGAGACGTGACATAAAGCTTAAATGCTGCAATTTGGCAAAATAGGGAAAACTTTATCAGAAGATAAAGTTTTAATTCCCCCTCTTCACGTCTCACAAGAGACGTGACACAAGCTTAATAGTGCAATTGGCAAAATAGGGAAAACTTTATCAGAAGATAAAGTTTTACATTCCCCCTCTTCACGTCTCACAAGAGACGTGACAAAAAGCTTAAATGCTATTCATCATCCAGATATCCTTGGTCAGCATCGTCAATAGCAAGCAAAGGAAACATCTGACCGTTATCTGCAGGATGTGGATCAATAGCGGTGGTTATAATCCTGGTTGTCAGCGTCCGTATGCATGGAATGCAACAGCATCCACAAAGCACTAGAATTGCAGCAAAAACAGAGATGGATACAAGTATAGAAGAAACAAGCGTTTTATATTTACCAAACGCATCCATCCAAGAGTCCCACATTGAAGTATCCACCCCTGAGTGGCTCTTCATTTTGCCATTAAGAGTTCGTAACCCTTCCAGGGCGACAGTCAAGCTGCCATCTGTGGCTGTATTGTTGGGAATAAAGGTACAACATTGTTCACCAAACATAGCACATACTCCTCCTTTTTCAGCCAGGAGCATGTCGACAGCAATACGATTTTGGAAAGCCATGAGAGAGGTCGCAGCCAACTGGCCATGCACCGCCTCAAAACCTTGTTGTGTCCAATTGCCTAATTTTTGAACATTAAAATGGACATAATTGATTCTGTCAACATTTTTATTAATCGTGCACCACCAGCAAAATGAAGATTCAAAACCTGCGGCTACTTGGTCAATCAATTTATACTCATCTGGTACCCCCCTAGGGACCCCAATTGCATCAATGTAGGTTGGGTCCCCATGAGTAGGGCCCACAGCGCGCCTGGTCCTGGTAGGAATTAAGTCAGACACATGGGTCACCAGCTCCTGAACACCTGTTGGATACACAGAAATTGGTAGCAAAAGCGAGACTAGTGCACAGGTGCCTGTGGCATTTCCAGGCAGTCCATCAAACAGATGAACGCCTCCACACCACCACCAGACATCAGCCCTGGAAACAGGTTTAAACTCAGCATTAGGCGTATAGATAAACCGACACCATCCAACAGGTACCATACCCAACAATGGTAGACCTTTCGTGAGATTAACACAGGTAAAGTTAGCTCTAGCCACCTGATAGGAAAAAATTGGTTTCTTAGTTGCTTTAGTAACCAAGGGATGAACTACGTCCCATAGTGTACAATTTGCGGAAGGGTTGTCATGTTTCATGACAGACAGGAAGCATTCTGGCGTAATGGCGGCAGGGATAATGCGAAGCAATGGCCGTGCCCCCATACAAACCACACAACTCTGATGAGTCACCTTTGCCGCTTCCTCAGTCAACAAGAGCCAGTTGTTAGAAAGGCCGGAGACACCTGTAGCGGTCAGGATTGCATCATCCAAAGTAGGTGGAGTGGTAAGTAAAATAATAGAATTATTCTTATTACCATTTTCATTAATAGCCTGTGCTTTTGTGTTATTAATATGACAAATTCGAACATTCCAATGGACTGGTGCAGTGGTACAGCTTACATAAGGAGCAAGTCTAAAGTCCTGGCAGCCTAATGCAATACCAGGATAGATAGTAAATTTGAGTCCTTTAGAGTTTTTTGTCAAAGTCAAGAGTTTACTCCATTGTTTTCCTAATGTAGTAGAGGTGCAACTGGACCAGTCATAATTAGTCTCACATACCAAGTTTGTCCAAGTCCAATCGCTATGGGTGACCCCCACTGTCATATACCAGTCCCAGTCACGGTAGTAGGTAAGTTCTCTGAAGTCTACCCACGGCACTGTCGCAGTAGTGGTAACATTAAAGGGTATACATAATGTGGTGCTTCTATACAATTGTCTGGGCCCACAGGAAAGGGTGTTAGAGACAACTTGTCGTTTATTTACGTGGTGGCTGTGGCTTACATTCTGATCTGGGCTCAATGTGTCGGAGTGCAGGTTGGTCGGACGTATGGTTGTGGCATTGAATGTGTCGTTAGGTTTACTAGTGGGTGTAATGGGTGTCTGTGTCATGTGCTGTACTGACCAGAGTATGATTCCTAGAGTAACCCCAATAGTTACAATCAGCAAAACAAGGAGTGGAGCAGAGCACCCCAGTCTCTCCCATGGTGGTCTGTCCCTCCTCTGTCTTTCCCCTCCAGTATCTGAAGATGGGAGTCTCCTCCACATATTCAGATAGTGTTGGTGTCAAGAATTTGATCCGAATTTAATGTGATTAAATCACTTCTGACTTCAGTCAGGGTTCTGGAAGGAGTTGGTGCTGGTGTACAATGTGTCAAGTGGTGCCAAGGTGCGCCTGATTTACCTTTGACCTGGACTGAGTGTGAAGTAACCGCCTTCACTTCGTACGGTCCAGTCCACCTGGGATCTTGCCACTTTCTTTTGTGAACCTTGATCCTTACCCAGTCGCCAACCTTTACCTTCAGCGGCGCCGGATCTCCCGTCAGCTCCCCCTCTTGGACCTTGTGAATCTGTTTGGAGAGAGCTGCAGAGAGTTCCGTTAGTTTTCTCACATATTCAGACATTACAATTTGTTGTACATCAAGGGCGGGGCATATGACCTCCCTCCCTTGGTGGACCAGGCATGACCCTACCAGTCATAATCTCATGTGGAGAGAGATGGGTGCCTGCTCCTGGAGAGGCTCTCATGGCCATCAACGCCAGGGGCAGAGATTCAACCCACGTCAACTTTGAACCTGCACATACCTTGGCTATCTTAGCCTTCAAAGTTTGATTGGCACGTTCCACGAGGCCCTGAGATTGCGGCCGGTACACAGACCCAAACTTGTGCACAATGCCGAACCTCTCCTCCACCTGTCTCAGGTGTTGGTTACTGAAATGGGACCCGTTGTCGGATCGGATTTGTCTTGGAACCCCATACCTTGGTATGAGTTCAGTCTGCAGCCACTTAATAACTGACCTAGCATCCTCACGTGCTGTTGGTATTGCCTCAACCCATTTGGAGAATCGATCTACCATTACCAATAAGTACCTTTTCCCATTAGTTACATTATCAGCCCCCATGTCAGTGTAATCTATGCTAATGTCCTGAAAACATGCATTAGGTACTGGGTATGAACCCATGGGTGTTTGGAAAGGTTTCTTTGGGTTGTGGCTGCCACAAATGCTGCACTCATCACAAAACAAGTCTGTCATGTCCTTAATGTGTGGGGTGCCACCAAATATGGGAAACCTTCTGTAAAGTTTTGAGTTTCCCTTCATGGGTGGGCCCATGAGCCTCACGTATCAGCTCGGGACAGAGATTAGCTGGGGCCACCAACCTGCCGTCATGGCATCTCCAAAGTTCATCAGGTCCTTTGGTGGCTCCATTCTGTCCCCATACCGAGTGCTCATACGGGCCCGCTGTGAATTGTAGTTCCTTTATGTGTTGGTCTGTGAGTTCTGTTCTAGCTGGTTGAGTCTGCAGCACCATCTGTCTTGGAGTGTAGCCCCCAGCTTTCTTGGCTGCTTTGTCAGCTGCGTCATTTCCCTCGCTGACTTTGTTCTTGAGTTGCTGATGTCCTTTGCACTTCATGATGGCCACCTGCTCAGGTAGTGAGACTGCTTTTATCAGTCTCTCCATTTGTGCCTTGTGTTTGATCGGAAGGTTTCCTGTTGTGGTGAAGTTACGTCTGACCCATTGTGGTCCATCTGTATGGACTGCTCCATGAGCATATGCTGAGTCAGTGTAGATGTTCACAGTCTTTCCTTCAGCCTTTTCCAGGGCTTGAGTCAAACCAATGATCTCAGCTAGTTGGGCTGAGGCAGGTTGTGGGATGATGTCTGATTCCAGGGTCACGTGTGACCCGTCTGGAAGCTGCTGTACCACTGCATATGCTGCTATGTTCCCTTCTTCTCCTCTATAGCAGCATCCATCGGTGTACAACCATAGATCAGGATTGGTAAGGGGTTCGTTTCCCAAGTCTGGTCGCAGTTTCAGTTCCTGTGCCGCCCTCTCTTCGCAGGAGTGTGCCAACCCTTCTTCTGCATTGAGTGCGTCTGCCATGTTTTTGTCGGTGTTGACAAAAGTAATGTGTGATTGGGTGCATTTATTCTGGATTTTGTTCTTTCTTTCAGCGCTGAACGTGAATTCCTTGCTCATCAGATATGCTGCAACCCCATGGTGCGTATGGATTTCCAATTTGTGGCACATTACCAGGTGGGCGGTTTTTTCAATAGCTTTTGCCACTGCAGCCACGTACCTGGAACATGTTGTCTGACCTGCTTCAATATGGTCCAACTTAGAGGAATGATACATCAGTACTCTTCTCTCCCCCTCTTGTTTCTGAAAAAGGATGGAAGAAGTGAACCCCTCCTTTTCAGAAACATCAAGATGAAATTTGTTTTTGTAGTCGGGTGCTGTCAGAGCTGCTGCCACCGAGAGATCGGTTTTTAGGAGAGCAAATGCTGTTGATGCTTCAGGTGTCCAGGTAAGTGAGGAGTGTAAGTTTCTTGGTCCTGCTTCTCTCACTATTTCTCTCAGTGGTTCAGTCCTGGATGTGTAGTCAGGGATGTGGGTACGGCTGTACCCTGTCAACCCCAGGAAGGACAACATGCCTGACACTGTGATGGGACGTGGATGATGGAGTATGGAATCTCGGTGGGATTTCGAGAGACCAGCACCTTCTCCTGAGATTTCTCTGCCAAGGAAAAGGACAGTTCTGCGACAGGACTGGACTTTGCTCATTTTGACCTTGTAGCCTTTGACAGCCAAGAAGTCAAGTAGGGTTTTTGTCATTTGTAGACAGAGATCAGATGTGGGAGCCCCCAGCAAAAGGTCATCTACATATTGGATGAGTATCACTCCTTCAGGGATTTTCAATTCAGCCAGGTGTGTCTTTAGGATATGATTGAAGATTCCGGGAGAACACCTGTAACCCTGTGGAAGAACCGAATACGTATACTGTTGATGTTCATATGTGAAGGCAAAGAGAGGCTGTGAAGCCTCATCCAGTGGAATGCTGAAGAAGGCATTAGCCAGATCCACAACGGTGAAGTATTGGTGTTTTGGTGAGAGATTACTCAGTGTAATGTGAGGGTCAGGGACAGGTAGGTCAATGGGTGCAGTGACGTCGTTCACTGCTCGGAAGTCTTGTACCATCCGGTATGTTTCGCCTCCTGTTTTCAAGACTGGTAAGATTGGTGTGTTCCATGGAGACACAGTGCGATATATGACACGAGCTCCCAACAACCCATCTATGGTTGGTTTGATCCCCATGGTCTGTTCAGGTTTCAGACGGTACTGTGTTCGGTAGATAGGAATTTGTTCAGGGTTGAGTAAGGTGATGGTGACTGGTGCCACCTGTAGTTGTCCAACATCAAATGGGGTGTGTGTCCATATGCCTTCATCAATGGTGGAAAGCAGTGCTTGTGATGAGGGGTGGTCTGTGTAAGGTTTACCATGGTGTCTTGGGAGAGTCAAACGTTCAGGAAGGCAATGTTCCTCTGTGTCAACTGTCATAAACCTCCACATGTTCTCAGTGGTGGCTTTGGTTATTCCTGGAGTTTGGGTGGGTTCCCACTGGAGTTTGGATGCTCTTCTGATCATAGGCCCAAGGCTCCTTGCCTCAAACCGTGTCCAACTGCCAGTGTAACATGGGGAGCAGATTCTTCGCCCAGTAGGTACCAGGATTTCAAATGGGAAGGTAGGATAACCGGAGCAGCCACTCCTTCTTGTCCACAACACTATGGTACAACATTGATTGTTGGTTGTCAGGTGCATCATGTTTTCATCCCAGTTCATCGGTCATATGGGTTTGACATCATTATCAGTTCACATTAAGTGTACAGTGTATTTCAGCTTGAGGAGTCTTGTATGGGTGAAATGTGTAAATGAGTTGTCTCAGCTGGTTGAACTTGAATTGAACCTCAGGGGTTCCTTGGCCGGATTCGATGCACTTCAACCAGTATATTTCTTTGGGTCAGGGAGAGCACTGGGGTTGGGGATGATGGGTAGCATCAGCACCCTAACTGGATGAACTGGTGTGGAGGTAATGGGATCAATGGAAACCTCCACACCCTTTTTCGGTAAGGTAGATTGAACATTTCAGTTTGCACAATAGGTCCCTTCCTAATAGGTTGATTGGACAGTTGGGGACAATATAGGAATTGATGCTCAAATTGGAAGGGCCCCATTGGAAGAGCAATGGTATGGTCTTGTTTTGGCTTCGGGTGTTCCTGATACCCCCACCACCTGTATTGATTCCGAAGAGAGTGGTTTGACGAGATCTTATGGCAGAGTACGTACATCCTGTATCTACCAAAAATTGGTGGGGTAAACTCCCTCCACTTCACACATGACAGTTGGTTCAGTGTGGAGTGGAAAATGCTGACCCCATTCCCGTTCTGTGGTGGTGGGCAGCTTCAGGCCCAGGGAGGATATTCGTCTGACTGCCCTGGAAGGTAGGAGCTGGCTGCTGGTTAGGCTGTTGGTTTGGGTCTTGCTGTGGGTGGGTTATATGCTGGTAGGGCAGCATGTGGCTGGTACATCGGTCTTGGGCTCCTCTTGATCTGAAGGCATAACCTCTACCCCTGTTTGCCAGCCAGTGTAGTTGTTGCGGACTAGGTGGTAATGGACACCATCTGACAGAGTGTCCATATTGATGACAATTGTAACAGGCCCCCCATTACCTTGTGGCCTGGCGGTCCCCATTGGGTCTGGTATGGTGCCACCGGTGGCTGATATGGTGGACGTTGGTGCTTGATGTATGGCTGAGGCACCATTGCGATCGTTGGGAGTGTTTGTGGACGGCGGCTGTTGTGTTTGTATCATTTGTGAGACAGTTTTTTTTCAATTATTTGAGAAATGTCAGGTTGGGTTCAGCCACCATCTGTTTCTTTGGCTTATCTCCCTTCTGTGCCTCTTCAGTTGTAGTTTGAGCAGCTGCACCTGCAGGGATTGGACAGTGTTTTCCGCCCCTCCCTTGTCTTGTTGTATTGGGTGATGTTGATGATGAACATGGGAGCTAAACTGCAGCCCTAGGGAGTGCCATTAATCCCACAGTTCCCCCTTAGTTGGTTCGGACGTCATTGGACTCAAAGGGGGCCCCCCCCCTTTACCAACCCTTTTCTTTTCCCCAAAGTGCCCTGGTGTCGGAGTGATCATTGGTTCGTTAAAGGACCCTTTTTCCGGTGGTTTTGGCCTGTCCAGGTAGGCAGCTGGCTTTTTCCCCAGGACCGAGGGTTAAAAAAGGCAGTGTTCATGGTTTTGTTCGGTAGGATATTTCCCCCTCAGAAAATTCCCCAAAAAACATTTTTTTAGACTTTCCGGGGGGCGGCACACCCCCCGCTCTTTTCCAGACCTGCCCTTTGCAGTTAAACCCTAAAGGTGGGTGTGATCTGTGGCCCTGGCCAAAAAGGTGCCTTCATGTCTGCCAGGCAACCTAAATCCAAAATGTTTTTAAAGGGGTTTTAAGTTTTCAAAAAGCCAAGAAAACGCTCCACCATGGGGGCTGGGGTCTGATCCATAGGGCCCGGGGGTCAGTCATCTTCCAGGGTTTGGTTTTCTTTGGGGGGTCGGTTTTGGTTTGGGCTAAGTTTGGGATTTTGGGGGTTTCAATCCCCTTTCCCTTTAAATTGGGGAGATTTTTTGGGTGGGGTTAGGGAAGGCAACAATTCCCCCCCCCTCACCCCTTTCAAGGCCCCGGTCTTCCCTTTTTGCCCTTTTTTCATTATGGTGGTTTTTATGTGACGCCTGCCCCGACAGCACCCATCAGCCTCAAGGTTTTTTTTCCTTTCCCTTTTTTCTCCTTTATTATCCCATTTGGGGGTCCCCGTTTAGACCCCGTGAGTTTTAATGAGCCCGCCCCCATCGACCCCCCCCAAAACTCATTGTCCCCCGCACCCCCCTGTCATGGATTGGGGACTTCCCCCTTTTTCTTTTGACAAAACCCTTTGAGAGTTGGGTTTAGGCTGTTTGGGGGCAGCTGTTGTTTGGGCCCCGATGCTCCCCCTTTCCTGTATAGATCTGTGGTTGGTTTTGAGTCAAACTTTTCCCGGGGGCTCTGGGTTGGGGAAACCCCCTTTGGGGGGGTGGGTTTTGGGTTGGGTTTCCCCGGCCGGGGGGGGTGGCTCCCCTTTGTCCTGTGGTCGCGTTTTGGGTTGGACTTCCCCAAAGTTTAAGTACTCCTTTCCCTACGCTTAGTGCCCCGTTTCCCCCTAGGTGTCCTCCCTTTCAAAACGAACACAGGCGCTTGGTTTCCCACTGCAGGATTGGAAGGGTTTTAAGGGTTTGTTGGGGGTGGGTGGGTTGGGGTGGTTGCTCTTCTTTTCCTGGCAGGGGGCGGGGTACAGTGGTTGGCGAGGCGCTGGTTGTCACCAGGGGCGGGGGTCCCACTATTGGTGTTGTCTCATTTTTGGGTTCAATAACCCACCCATCATGTCTGGTTTTTTGATGGGTGTCTCGTGGGTTTCCTCCAAAGGGCCCCCGTTTCCTTTTCCCTTTGAAACCTCTGCTCTCCTTGTGTTTAGTCCCCTTTCCCTTTTTGAATAAGTGGGGACTTATTTCCTTTTTAAATTAATTTCTGTTCCTTCCCCCCCCGCCTTTCCCCCAGTCTTTTTTCCATAGAGGTGAGTTTTCCCCTGTAGAGGGGGGGGCCCCCCCCCTAAAAAAACCTGCCCCGTGTCCATTTTAGTTTCCTCCCCCCCCACACTTTTTTTAGTCTTTTTACTGTTTTTTTCCCCCCCCGCTCCATCCTGTATTTTTTGATCTAGTATTCATAAATTTTAGTTTTGGGACGGGGAGTGGGGTTTCCAGGTTATACAGTTTATTAGCTATCTTTGGGGGCCCCCGCCCGGACTGGCCGAATCCAGCAAAGTAATTTTTGGCGTGGGCTGGGGTTTTTCTTGGTCCCACCCCCGTACACAAAAAATGTTCAATCTTTATTTTTGGAATTTTTTTCAAAAAGGTTTTTATTTTTTTTCAATTAAATTTGAATTTTTTATATTTTCCCAAAAAGGGATCAGAAACCCCCCTTTTTGGGAAAAATAATTTAAAAAACCCGGGGCGCTCCCAAAAAAATTATCAATTTAATCCCAGGGAATTTTTTTGGGAAAAGTTATTTTGGGCTTTCCCGGGTTTAGCATTTTATACTTTCCCAAAAGGTATTTAGGGTCGCCCTTTTGGGAAAGGGGAAAATACATTAAACAAACCCAAGCGCTCCTAAAAAATTATCAATTAAAATTTAGGAATTTATTTGCAAAAAATTTTTTTTTTCAGGGGATTCGAGGTTTTTATATATTTTCCCCAAAAAGGGATCAAACGCCCTTTTTGGGAAAAATTTTATTAGCAAAATTTAGGCTCCAAAAAAAATTACCAATTTAATTTTTGGGGAATTTTTTTGCAAAAATTTTTTATTGTTTTTTAGGTATTAGGTTATTATATATTTTTCCCCCCAAAGGGAAACAGAATCGCCCTTTTGGAAAAAAAATATTAGCAAAACCCCCCCGAGCGCTCCTTTAAAAAAATTATCAATTTAATTTTGGGGAAATTTTTTTGCAAAAAATTATTTTGTTTTTGGGGATTTGAGTTATTATATATTTTTCCCCAAAAAGGGGGATCAGAAACGCCCTTTTTTTGGAAAAAAAATTAGCAAACTCCCAGCGCTCCCCAAAAAAAATTATCAATTTTAATTTTTGGAAATTTTGAAAAAAACCAACACCCCAAAAAAGGGAAAAAATTCAAATCAAGGGTTTAGCGCGGGGGGCACAAAAAGGCAAAAAAGGTCGGTTGGTCCCCTTAAAAAATTTTCAATAGTTGGTTATAAAGGAAAAAGGGGCCAAAACTTACCCCAACCCTTTTAGGTTTCATTTTAACAATTACTTTTTTTATTACTTTCAGCATCAAAAACACGAAATTTAAAGGGGAGTTCCTCACAGTAATATGTTTTAGTTTCCCGTCAACCCTTTCCCGACCCTTTTGAACTTGATTTTTTTTTTATTTTTTTTTATTCTCCCCCAGGGGAATCCCGTGTTTAACCCCCCCCAAATGGCGTCTAGTCGGGGAAAACCCTTTTTTTGGGCTTGGGTTTTTCAGGTTAAATCCAAACCCCACTATCTGTCTTTTTTCAAGTCCCGTCCTTCTCTTGGGTCCCTGGGTCCCTCGCTTGTTTAAACCCCCCCCTCGTTAGGGCTCCTCACTGAAAGCCGCCCCCCTTCCCAAAAAGTAAATAAAAAACCCCTGGTCCCCAGCCCTTTTTCTTTAGGTCCCCTTTTCCCCCGTAAAAATGTTTCGTTTCCCCGTTAAAAAAAAAGGGGCCCCCCTTCGTGAAACCCAAAATTGTCCCCCCCTCCCCCTAGGGTCACATTTTCCCCCCCCCCTAAAAAATTCAAACTCTTTACCTTTGCCTTTTTGGCCCCCCTTTGTATGTTTTTAAAAAATTCCCCCCTTTCCCCCCCTTCCCCCAACCCCCTGGGGGTCCTTTTTGGTTTTCCCCCCAAAACAATTATGGGAGTTTTTTTTTTAAAAGGGTTTTTTGCTCCCCCGTATTGCCCTCGGTTTTTTTTTGTCCCTTTCCCGGGCGGGTTTGGGTTTTCCCCGGTTTTCCCCCCTTTCGGAAGGTAAACCCCCGGCCCCAGATCCGTCTCTTATTTCCCCCTTTGGGGGTCTCCCCCAATTTTAAACGGAAACCCTTAGATTAGAAAACCCCTGCTACCCAAATTTTTTTGTGACACAAGTTTCTGGAGAAGAACGGAGGACCGGAGGGCCCTTTCGGAACCCCGGGGAAA